AAAAAAAAAAAAAAAAAAAAAAAAAAAAAAAAAAAAAAAAAAAAAAAAAAAAAAAAAAAAAGAGTCAGTAAAATGGACTACCAAGTCATGCAGCATGAAGTAAAAAAAAGTAGGAACTTTGGAGCACTTACCTTCACCATTTAACACAAGAATATCTGGAAACTAACCGAGCTAAATTTATTGCTATTCTCAGTTCTCCTGTTGGCCTAAGACATATTTGTGCAGGTGTCTGAGATGAAAGCCGAGTACTTTCCACCTAAAGTTGACATTATAATACAAAACGAGATACCAACAGATTTCTACATTTTGGTGTCTGGATCAGTGGTAAGTAATCTTGTGATTTTTCATCTGCATTCCATGTTCTCTTGGAATCAAATCTAATCTGAACTACATTTATAACAATGCAGGATGTGATCGTGTACAAGACTGGAACTGAACAGGTAACGTAGAGCAGTTCATTGTTGTGTTAAAAGGTTATTGCCTATTTCTATGCATTACATTATATAATGCAAGAAATTTTAAATATTCACGACCAAATTACAGATGCTGACAAGGTAAAGTTAGACAATGAAGTAATTATGATAAAATTCTAAGTAGTATAATTCAGTGATAATAAAATGGAAGGGCGGCTGCATCTGCAGTACTCATGTGTTGAGATATTTTCCATCCTCAACAGGAGAAGACAGGAAAATCCAATGAACCTGATTTTTTCACTCTTTTTCGTAATATATTTGCATGAATTGATTTTCAGATTTTGTCAAAGCTGGAATCTCCACAGATGGCAGGGGAAATTGCTGTGATGTTGAATATCCCACAGCCATTTACAGTGAGAACTAGAAGACTCTCCCAAGTCATCAGGATCAGTCATCATCATTTTAAGCAAATGTTACAACCAAACAACGAAGATGGAAAAACCCTTTTCATCAACTTCACTGAGGTTAGAAAAATAGTGGATCTATAATACAATTATTACAAGATAAACAAATTTTATATCAGAAGCCTTTGAGATTAAAGATATCATCATCAAGATAGTAACTGGATAAACTTGCCGTGTATAATCCTAATAAAACTCGTGTCTAGTACGCACATTTTTTTTATGCTGACTTTTGTGCTGCACAATCAGCACTTGAAGGGGATGAAAAAGGAGGAGCAAAACGAAATACCCTACTTTTCAGAGTTGCTGGAAGACCTAAATTCAGAGGTACCCTTCTTTTACTATTCAATAAAGTGGTTTACAATTTGGACATACTTAGCTTGTAGTTAGTGCAATGCCGAACGTTAGAAGCCTTGTTGTTTGAATATAACTTCGAGAAGTATCCAGGATAAATGATCTCTTCTAAATATATTACTAAGAACGTAAGCGGGTGTTTATTACATACCAGGAAACTTTACAGCAAAATTAATCTCAAAATCATGATTTTTTAGGATCAAGTTGACTCGGGTTGACTGCTATCTAAAGGATAAGAGTTTATTAAAACTAGTCAATTTGCTGATTTTCAAGCTTGAAAATGAAAGACTTCCAAAAATATCATCTATACAAGTGTGAAATAGGCGAACAAGATTCAAGCAAAATGTTTATGCATATGGTGAAAATAGGCTAGGCACTAATGTGTTCTCCTTACCCATGTCTAGAGAATAAAATAGGAGGAGAATTATGACAACTTGTACTTTTCCACCCTAGACTGATGAAAGTCAACTTTTCCTGCAAGAATATAGCAGAAAAATTACAGAATAAGATATAAGTAGATCAAAGTTATAAGATTCGTTTTCTGGAAAATGAATGTTGCTAAAGTTTTTTTTTTTTAGTTCTATAAATTCACTTATGAAACTTAGTATGTAGTAAAGTGAAAAATGAGTTAATAACATTAGATATAAAGGGAGAATTTCAATTTATTCTCTGGTCAAGAATATTTGACAGAAACAAATTGAAAGGGAAATTTGGAAATTATTTATCTATTGGCTTACATTTCAAATTAGAGGGGAAATAAGTCCATTAGAGTAAACCATAGAAGAGCTTTGTAAGTTACCAAATAAATATTCATTCATAGACTAATTCTAATTTTGTCTAAAATACAAATAGAAAAGAATGACCAAGCAGCATTGAATGATGCAACTTGTACTGAAATTCTCAATGAAAGTTAAACCTATGCCTTGAAAAAAAAATAGACGTTGATACAAATTAGCTTTGAACAAATTATCGGTACAATACCAAATATTCTTTCCTTCCTTGTATTCTTTGAACAAACTAGCTCTTAATGATTTCCTACCAGAGAAAAGGACTCACTTACGAGAACGATAAAAAAAACCTTAACTAGATGATGATCATCGCATGTTGTTTTGCAGTTCACAGAATCGAATGAGACACAAAATCAGAGACTACCAGATTATCATGGAGATCAAGAAATGGAAGGTAAGGAAATTGTGGAATGACATTGACAGTTATGACATTATTTTCTAATTAGTTTATCTTAGAAAGCATGCATAAAGTGGAGAAATCATAAATAGTTCCTTGAGAATTTATTTTTTTCACTGAACATATATCTACTCTGATTGTGGCAAGGTTACAACAACATGCAAGCACATTCTAGAATCATCAGGACATAATGTTTATGTGTGGAAGAACTGTGTTGTCACTTTGTTTTTCAAGTAAACTATATTTAGCTTTATCAAAATATTTTACATTCGTCTCCTTAAAAACAGAGTACAGTTGAGCATTTATAACTTTTTTTATAACTTAGAAGATAAACTATAAAAATCCAACTTTTAATCTAAAAAATATTGAATCAATTTTGTCAGAAGTTTGTGTTATCAACTTGATTCAGCACAAAGCACACTTCCTAGATGTTCTAATCTTAATCAAGTTACTTTTGTTCGAGCAACTTGGATACCATGTATTTTCAAATGTTGGACTTTTCCTGGATAAGCACATTTCGTAGCTCAATTCACACAATTATGTTATAGGATTGCCAGAAGCATCTACACCATTGCCACATACAGATCGCATCAGGGTGATAATTCGCGACCACCATCCAGATGAAGGTACAAAAGATGCCAACGGTATGGGAAAACTGGTATTTTTGCCCAAGTCGATTGAAGGACTTTTCGGATTGGCAGGTATTATGATTAGATTTGTGTGAAGTATAATTTGCGTCATACATTTTAAACAATCCCAGGAAACATTTCAGAAATTACAATCCAACGCTAAGTACCTATTCTTCTTAAAGTACAAAAATTTGTTGGCTTAATCATATGATTTTAATCTGATAGGAAGAAGATGGTGAAATAAGAAATTTAAGTCAATAACTAGATTTTTATGTCTTATAAAGAAGACAGTTAAAGACCTAGTTATCATGGTTGTGTAATTTATTGAATAGAGTTTGGGATCAGACAGAACAAATCATCATTGTTGTTGGCTTAATCATACAAAGGGCTTGGCTTTTTATACACCTTATGTACCTTTTTAATGTCAATGTAGATGACATTTTTTAATTAGAAGATAACTGATTGACAATGGATTGCAGAGAAAAGATTTGGCAAGAGAGGGAGCTCAATTTTCATGGCTGATGGCTCTAAAGTAGAAGACTTGAATGTTTTAAGAGAGGGTGATCATTTATTTTTTGTCTGAAGACAAAAACAATATCTGCTGTGTTTACATAAGGCCTAAACCGATGACTTATGGTCTACGACTATCAAGAAACAAGAGATGAGTGATAGTGTAAATATATTAAAGGGATACGTATTGGCAGAAATGTGCAGAAATTTTGGGAGAAATCTTACAGCGTTCCCCCTCCGTTGTTGAGCATGTCTAAAACAGTGTAAGCAGCTTGTTGAAATTGTTGTTTCTCTTCCTCTAGCACTCCCTTCCTGTCAAGAGCAGAACCCCTGCACTTCTCTATGTCTTCCAATATACCAACAGCATTTTGATCGATTTCACTGCAAACAGTGGAAAACAAGAGGACTATGGTTAGCATGAGAATCTAGACGTACTATTATGACGTTTTATGCAATTAATTTGGAGTCATTAGGAGTAGAAGAACTCCTCCATAATTAAAAATATTTCGCTCTCCCCACTTACAGCTTATCAGTTTACAACAACTCCTGCAAATTTAAAATAAAAAACATGCATAAAAAATAAAAGTAATCGAGCTACTCTCCATAATTAACAGACCTGATCATTCTAAGCATGTTCTCCATAGCCCCTTGGGCCTGTTGTGATATATCTGTGCAAATATAAAAATACCAGAACCAGCGTTATCTAATCGGATGACACAGAGTAATCCAAAGATCAGGTCGTGATAAACATCAACATGCAAAGAAGGAAAGAGAAAACGATAAAATGATTTTGTGATAAAAGCAAGCACGTCTTGGTCGAACTGATATTAAGGCTTTGAAGTTTTCATCGTTGTTCGGCTATGATTTACAAGCCTGTAAATTTGCGGAGGAGCAACCTTTCTCCAAGTAGAACCGTCTCGAAGCTATCGAATCAATCAAACTCCTTCTAGAATTACAGAACTTAAAAATAACGGATGGAGCGAAGCAAAACAATCATATAAAAATGGACTGCGCATATAAATGGAGGTAGAATCATAATACGCGAGTACCGACTGGCCATTTCTGAACACGATTCACGATTCAAGTAGTGTTAAGAATAAAGAGCCAACAGAGCCAACATTTGGAGAAAGACTCTTGATATATTTCGTAGAAGGCAGACTCTTAAGTTCAAGAATCCAAATACCTCCTCGTCTTAAGAAAGTACAACTATCACTGCCGATTTGTTCAATAATTTGTCCAAAACAAACAACCTCTATCTAGTTCGGTTTTGTGCTACACAATTTTATAGTATCAGAAGCGAAGAAAGTTAACCTAATCGGCGTTTTCAGTCAAACCTGCGCCGAACATTATCAAATGGAATCCAGTCGAAGTTACATCACCTACCTAGAGTTTAATCTCAAAGCATTTCTTACTTCTTTAAGCACAACTAGTAGACGATTAACAGTGCCCGATTTTCACAAAAAGTACAACAAATCTAACTAAAAATCTCGCCATACAACGTCAGGCAGGCATATTTTCATTACGAGAAAGCGTTTTTGCGCGCCTTTTGAGTGTGTGCATTAGAGAGAAAGAGAAAAAAGAAGCGAAGAACTTACGGAATAGGAGAACTGAGAGCTGCGATTCAGATTCAGATTCTGGCAATGACTCAGATTCCGGCAAGGGAATAAGCTGATCATTGGGTTTTGATTCGGAACTTGCCATCGTACAGAGAGACTGGAACGAGAAGAACAAAGGCTCCAGTTACGTTTGCGCGGGTGAAGTATACAACTGATGTTCAATTTTTTTATTTATATATATATATATTCTATACAAAATCGTCTCAAACAATTCTTAAATTATTTTAATTTTTTAAAAATTACCAATTATATTATTTTCATAAAAATATGCTAAACTTACAACTAAATAGTTTATATAATATTAAATTATTATTCCATTAACATAATTATTTATATGTGGATATAATCAGTAATTAAATGCTCAAAAAATACAAACCCGGGCGGTAATTAATCCATAATCAAGTGGAAATTTTTAATAAATAAAAATTTGACAAAAATATTTTTTTTTTTAAAAAAGCTAAATTTTCTTATTAATCTTATTAAATTATGCTAGTTTTGATATTAAGGAGCGTTTAAGTCAATTATGGTAAAATATATATATATATATATGCATACGGTAAATTTGATATGACCACGGAAAAAATGGGGCTCTCAAACCCAACCTGTGGTGGAACTCGAGAGACAAAGTCAAAACGCATGATCCTTTGCCTCATACTTCGAGACGCTCCTCCCGTTGATCAAACAACGAAGCTATTCGTGATAGACTGATATTGAAGCCGCTATTCTTCGGTTTGAATAAGCCCAAGTCCTTTCGGTCTGTATGTTTAGGTGGTCTTTCCTTATCTTTTTTAATGTTCAGAGTTGTTTCACCGGTCTTGTCCAAAACGAGCGAGTTGAGTTCTTCTTTAGGAAAAGCACGGGACCCACCACTAAAGCGAAAACAGAAGTGTGCTCCTGTCCACCCGGTGAAATCACATTATTTTCTGCGGTAAGAAATAGTCAGACGAGTGAGGAAATCAGGAGGGGGCAATATCAACGCCCCCCAACCCACCGACGACTTGATACTGCATTACAAGCCAAGCAAACCTACACATATAGCATCTCGACATTGGTTGTAGGGTCTCGAAGCTAATACTCGAGAAGTTACGCCTCACTCAATGCTACAATCTAGCACTCGACCTTACTACCAAAAATATAATTTTTTTTAATTAAAAAATTGGATATATAATTTGATAAAAATAGTTTTCAATCATCAAAGGTTGATGAATAATATTTTTACTTTATTACCCTTTTCCCTTTTTACCCCTTCCTCTTCCAATGCTCCTTCTTTGCCAGACAAACTCTCCTTTCAACTCCACGGCTCCACCAGAACTCGACACGTGTGTTTCCTACGAGTGCTGGACCCACTGGAACAGAGCTTTTTTCCAGAAAAAGCACGCAGTGAATAAATCAACCGCCCGAAGAAGACCGGTCCAGTAGTAAAAGAATCTTGCGTTTACAGCCGTTGGATTTCATCGGGATCCACAAATCTGACAGACACGTGTCGGAATCAGACGTTCAAGATCGAGAATGAAGAAAGGCTGAGTCACGCAAAACGACAAACAAGGCAGTTCCGAAAAATGAATTATTAAATTATGTAAGTTTATTAATACAGTATGACGTGGCAACTTGTTTGATAGGGACTGAATGGACCACATAATTATTAGTTAACGGTTAAATAGACGCCGTTTATGTTCGATGGAAATCATTAACGTGGGAGAATGTTTTTTTTATATTTTGTTTATAATATTAAATTACAAATTTAATCTCTAAAATTTTAATTAAAAAAAAAATATATATATATATATAATTCTAGGGGTAAAATCGTAATAAACTGTTAGTATGAGGGCAAATTTGTCAATAAGCGAAAAAGGCCAATCACACAGTCGTGGACCTTACTAAAATGGATGTTTCGTCCTCCCCACATTCTCCGCCACAGTTTACCAAAAGTGCAAATATAAAATATTTTAAAAGATTAAAAAAATTAAAAAGAAAAATAAGTAATATTTTATTTATTTTTTTATTATTTTCTTATTTTTCAAATTTACTTTTGAAAATATTTTAAAATTTAGAGGATAAAGAAATTATAGATGAACTTCGTATTTATAAATTTAATTAAAAAAAAAGTGTAAAAGTTTATAATTATACTATAAATAAATAAATAAAAAGTATGAGCCCAATAAATAAAATATATATTGTTTGGAATTACCGTTTCGACCGTAGCATGATATTATCCACTTTGACCATAAGCTCTCGTGGCTTTACTTTAGGCCACTTTGAGCATAAGCTCTCAAGGAATATTGTCCACTTTGAACATAAGCTTTCATGGAATATTGTGCACTTTGAGCGCTCTGTTTTGGGCTTCTCAGAAGGCCTCGTGTTAGTATTCCTTGATCATACATGCATGATGATTATGGAGGTGAGACTTTTATCGTCCAAAATATATTACTGACGTGGAAATTAAAAAAAATAAAAAAAATAAAAAATTGGAAGAGAAAAAAAGAGGGGTAATAATAATGCATTGAAAGACAATACTGTGGGCAAAATTAAAGTGGCTGCCATTCGGTGCAAATGGCATTGTATTTGTAGAGAGAGAAAATCGTTGGGTTTTTTGTTTTCTTCCATTTTTCTAGAGAGAGAAAGTGGGAATGCTTGTGACTGAGCTGCCTTCGCTGATTTTGAGGCATCACTGAGAGAGAAAGGGAGATTGCAGAGCAAGTTTCAGTCATACCCATTCATACTTTCAATTTCTTCTTCTTCTTGTTTCTGCATTTTTTTTCAGGAAAGGAGGTTAGCTTTGCCCTTCCTTCCTTCCTTCTTCTATGGCGTTGTTTTCGTTTGTTTTGAAGCATTTCGGAGTTTTTTTTGTTGTTGTTCTTGATTTTTTTTTTTTTTTTTTTTTAATGAGATTTCTGCGATCGTT